TTAGACATACTCCTTGATAAGATTGATGACATTATACCAGATGGTCCACATTGATTCATCTTGATCCTAGATATTTTCTTAACATTTAAGTGTCTTATTGAAATGAGAAGTATTGATCATGAGCTTACGGATTAATCTTGTCGAGACACTCGATTTGAAAATAAACACGCAAATTTAAGATATTTAATATTCCAATTGACGCACAAAGCCTTTGTAAACTCTGAGTGTTTGATCTAGGTTTATATAGATTTGGATTGAATCAATTTTGATATCATTTTATTTGTCTTTGTAGATATGCCCAAATTGATTATAAATTTGTTGAAATCTGGGCTCATATGATCATGAATTTGAATTTGAAATGTTCCTGACTCTACATGCTTTGAGATCATATCTGATTATAAAAATTTGTTAATGACACATCAATATTTTATAAAAAATATTATTATTTTAACTTATAAAAAAAGTGAAATATAACTTTTCATACATACATACATACATATATAAACATACATACCTACATATAAATACATAGGAATTTGGTGGTATGGATATAATCTTTCTACTTTTATTTGATAATTTTTTATGAAAAGTATTTTTTTTTCAATCGTATTTTTTAAAAAAATGATAACTACGAAGAGATTGTTTTTTAATTTATAAAAAAATTAAATATTTGTAATATTTTCAAAAAAAATTAAAAAATATATTTTCCGTTCACCGAATTCGTAGCCATTCTTAGAAGAAATTACAATCGTTTCGAATGAACATTTAGGCGTAAATTTTGGTTATATTCTTTTCACATAGGCCCTCAATTCTAATTTGTAAGATTACAAAAATTGAATAGTGGGGCGGATCTAAAATTCTTCAAAAAAACTTGGACTTTAATGCACTTATTCTCATCCGTCACAATGAAAACACGACAACTGGCAGCAATAAAAAAGATTCATTTTCGGAACACCAAACAACAAACATATCCAAATCTTGACGCAATAGATTTTGTTTTAGCAAATATTTTATATTTCAATCTTGTTTATTTAGCTAAAAAATAGACATTCATTTCAAATTATTAATTTATAAATTACAGAATAAGACAAATTTAATTACATATTCATAAACTTTATCTCAAAAAACAAAAAAACAAAAAACAAAAAAATAAACAAAACAGAACATCTGTAAATTTATCATCAAATTTCTGAAATTGAATTTTGTCATAGATTATAATGAAAATTGTCTCATAGGACTATACTAAGAATTTAATCTATTACCATGGTTATAAGTACTCAATTCAACTCCATTTGTCACTAACTCACATGAAGTATCAATTCTACTCTTTAAATTAGGGTTGAAGTAGTCGCCATGGAGAACTATTGAAGCTCAATAATAAAATAGTCAGGAAGTTTTTTGGCACTTAATGCCGTTGTAGTAAATAGCGAGCCAGTATATAAGAATATACGTGTTAATCATGTATGGAATTTATTCAAATTATGTTTAAATATTATTCAAACATATTAGAAGACATATTCAAATTATATTATTTGCTAATTGTTGGGCCCATGCATTCTTGAGCATAGTTCAAACATAGCTCAAATGTTAATCAAATCATATGGTAACATATTCAAACATGGTTTGATCCATATTTGCAAACATAGTCAAATATTCATAAAGTTATATTCTGATTAAATATATTTTTAAAATATGAATCAATTATCAATGTTCCTATATTTCATAGAAGAGAATGAAAAGAAGAAGATGATGAAGCTTGTTGAATTCAATTTTATCAAGTTGAGTCCAATCATACCAAAATCAAATAGTTAAAACGCTTTTGAAAACTTTTTTGAGCATAGTTGGATTGTCAGACATGTTTCGAATATGACATGCTTGAAGTCAAATCAAGCATCTTGGCAGGACAATCCAATAAGCCCAAGATCGTTCAATTAAGGTACTAAAATGCCCATTAAATGCCATCATATCCAAGGGATCTCTCTGAACCGAGCGATCAAGAGTGCTTTGGATTCATTATTTACTTGCATACTAGTCTCTATAAAGAGAGACCTCCCCCCTCAAGAGAAGGGGACCTCGACCATGGGCAAGAGGAAGTTCAGAGTCTGCAGAAGAGGAAACTACAACCCAGCATCCTGCACCGTAGATCTGACCAACTATGGCTGCCACCATCTTAAACCTTCGTCGCCTCCAACAGTTGTCATCACTTCCAATCACCACTACCCACCATCTACCTCTTCCACCTGCAGTCACCAACCACCGTCGGCCTCTAGCTCCTACAACCACTTGCCAACACTGCCCACAAACTCTTGTCACTATTGTAGCCTTCGCCTCTGACCAACTATGTCCACCATTGCCTTTGGCCAACTCCAATAGCCGCCGCCTCTGGCCAAATCCAGTAGTCTCCCCCTTCGGCCAACTTCGGTCATCACCCTCCAGTCAACTTTGTAGCCACAACCTTCACCTAATTTCGGCCACTGTTGTATCTGTTCAACTACGACCACCTCCGCCATCGCTGATAAACTTTGATTACCATTGCCTCCAGCTAATTCCGACAGCCGCCGCCCTCTGTCCAACTCCGGCTATTACAGCCTCTGGTACCTTTGACTGTCGTCGTTTCCGACAACCATCGTCGTAGACCATCATTGCTCGTCATCGCTCCTTGCAATATAGTTCCTTGTGAAGTCACAACATGTACTGCAAAATATTAGCGTACATGGAAAAGTAACAATAAACCCCACTTACTGAGAAATGACACCTACTAAAGATGGTGACTTTCTCCACTCTTAATAACTTCCTCCATGCAACTCCCAACTCTAGTCCCTGCAGCCTATGGGTGTCATCGCAGCTCACCACTGCGACTCACGTGACCTACTACAGCCCACGGGGACCACAACTCATGTAGATCCTAACTCATGCCCCTACGACTTACAGACGTTTTTGTAGCTCACCACTACAGTTAATGTGACCAACTATAATCTACGTGGTCCACAACCCTTGTAGCTCCTGGCTGTGACTCCTATGGCCTACGAAATTTATCAAAACTCACCACTATGACTTACGTGGTTTATAACTCTCGAGTCCAACCCACACAACCTACAGACGTCATCATAACTCATCGCTACGGCCTGCATGACTAACTAAGACTTATGTAGTTCATAGCTCATGCAGCTCTTGACACCAGCCCCTGCGGCTTATGCACGCCATCATAGCTCACCACTATGGCCTACATGGTCTATAGCTCATGCAGCTCACGATTTCAACCTCCATAGTCTATGGACGTCATCATAGTTCACTACTATATCTTACAAGGCAAGCTATGACTTACGTGACCAAATATGTCCTATGTGGTACACAGCTCGTGCAACTCTCGACATAGGCCTCAACAACTTATGGACGTCATTCCAACTCTCCCCATGACCTGTGTGACCAACTACGTCATCTCCAATCACCGCTATGACATATGTAACCTACTACGATCTACGTGGTCCACACTCTTGCAACTTCCAACTACATCCCTAGTAGCCAACCAACGTTCCTAAAGCAACCATCTGCAACCCAAATGATCAACTGATACCATGACTTTAAATTATGACATATATGACAAGCTGACACCACGACCATCATCCACAACATCCATGGCATACTAATGCCTCCAAAGTAATCGACTACGATTCTTACAACCTAATATCATAGAGAGACTACATTCATTACAGTCAGACTATGACTATTATCAATAAACCACTATTGTACATAGATAATGATCATTTTTGTAACTTCATATTACTTAATTTAAACGAATAGTAGACTTGTATACTCACTATTCAAAGTGAATTATTTCAACTGGGTTAGGCCCCGTGGTATTTTCTCTTTTTTAGGGTTTTCCACATAAAATTTAAAGTGTCTTTATTTGCATACTTCTTCTTTATTATCTAAGTGTGTGTGGGAGTATCGTACAACACTAAGACGCTAATTAATCCTTCTACAACCACGAACCTTTTAACATACATTAATTTTTATATTAAAAAAATCTATATTTTGTATTTACCAAAAATACTAGCACGAATCTCAAAGAGAATGAACGACCAAGATGAATGGGACTCCTTTCAAGGTAAGCAATCAACTGACGATTTAAGTTTGATTATGAAGTTGTCTCCAAACCCATGATAAATTCACGCTCCAAAGATGGTTCCCCACTCGGTAGTGGCAAGACCAGCCGAAAGTGTTGCGTGAATAATCCCGATAGTGAGTCTCGTCGGTTACCTCACATAGGTTGCAACAATATTCCCTTAAGAGCTTGCAAGATTAGGAGATCCGACAGAGCGATTAACCAACCTGGCAGGCAATATAGGAGCTTTGTAAGACTCGAGCTTAACAAAAAATGAGCAACGACTCACTATAAAAAAATCGGTCGATCACATTCGATCAACCAACCCCGTGCCCGGATCGACTGACCACCTCACAACTGACCTCTCTGGTCGACTGTGCTAAAAGACATCGAACAAGATTGTCATATGACTGAACACCTCAACTGACCAACATATACTTCAGATGGTACAAATGCCACTCGACCAGTCACTGACCTCAAGCCAGCCGATCAACCAATTACAAACAATGTTGAAATTCAAATTGTAATTCAAATATAACATAAAATCTATACAACCAATTAGAGCCTTAATGACATTAAGAACGATTTTCATAATTGTTCCCTCATTTCTCTAATTGTATAAAACACATCTCTATAAGTATAAGGAAAAAATAAAAATAAATGAAACTTTCCATTTTCCCTATAAAGATCCCAAATTTATTCTACTCTCTCTTTCTTCTCTCCTTTACTCGGTTCTAACTCTCGGAATATGACTCACAAACCATAAACTAGGATCGAACAAATTCAAATTAGAAGAATGATCCAAAGGAATAACAATAGGAGAGCTACGAGAAGCAACAAACCCATTACCCAACGAAATATATATATATATATATATATATATATATAGGCCGGCCAGCAAAAGTAATCGAGAAGGGTTGAAGAAGTCTACCCGAAGAAGTTGGATGACGAGGAATCCAAACGGTCAACGCAGCGAACCCAAAACGCCATTTGGAAGAAGAGTCAAAGCTGCTACGGGTCCGAACTTCTCGCAACGCTCCAAATAACCCAACAACGAAAGCCTTCTTCTCTTCCTCATCATTTAAACTTTCAGAGACGCACACAGAGAGGGAATTACAGAATTAGAGAAGACAGAAGAGAGCAAGAAATGGAATTTGCGAAATTTGAGGAAATTGGATCTTCTTCTTCTTCAATGATTTGCCTTTGTAGAATATGCCATGAGGAGGAGGAAGAGGAAGCCACAAGCATGGAATCCCCATGCGCTTGCTCTGGAACTCTGAAGGTAACTAATCAAACAGTGGAAAAAAATCGTTTTTTTTTTCTTACAATTTCTTGTCTGTATCTTTGGCTGATTTGAGGCTCTGTCATACCAGTTCGCTCACAGGCGATGCATACAGAGGTGGTGCGATGAGAAAGGGAGCACAATTTGTGAAATTTGTCTTCGGGTAATTAGACTGCTCACAACTAGTAGAATCTAGAGAAAACAAGGATCTCTTTTCTTTATAACAGTATTTGATGTTTCAGTACTTAATTTTTCTGTCGCTTTTTCATTGTTCTGCTCTTGAATATGGTTTATCTGCCTCTAGTTATATATATATAGGCCAGCATCACTATAAATTATATATTAACAAATCATTATTTCAATTCTATTATGTTATTTTAGTCTTACTTCAAATAGTTACTATTTCTTGGAAGATGTACATACATACCAGGACTCAATTCTTATATATTTACATATCTAACATCTAAATTTCATTTTTTTACATATTTGTCACCTTGCTAATATATTGAAAAAGGTGTATTTCACTTTAAAAAAAAGATCAAATATAAAAATTTTGGGCGATATAAATATAAAAATTAAAAATTAGATATTTGACATTATAATTACAGATCAATAGGGCGGTGAAAATGTAAATGTCAACTCTCATACTTCAATTTTCTTTCAATCTCGAAATGCCTTTTTCCTTATTATTATTATTTTATTGTTGTCCACTTTTCAGAAATTTGAACCAGGCTATACAGTAACCGCCCCTTCGCCTTCCAAGCCACACATGATTGAAGTTGTTATAACAATAAGGTTCTCTCTCTCTGGGAAGATTTACATACAAACCACTCAATTCCCTTGTATTTACATATCTACACCCTAAACTTCAATTTTTACAACAATGCCACATTCAATATGCATGAAATGAAATGGAGGATTTGGGACATAGATGTAATAATTAAAATTTAGGTGTTAGATAAGTAAATACATTATACATATATAGTAGAGAATTATGGAAAAAAACTACAACGTAAAAGACAAACTGAACGTGTAAATTCACACAGGGGAAGCCTGGAAGCAGCAAGGCTGAACAACGAGCTCCAAAACCAAGCAACGGAGGCGGGGCCCGGGAAACACAAAACTGCCGAGGGGTCGCCGTCGTCCTACCATACCAGTTCCTGCTTCCAATCCGTAGCTTTAATGGTCAGTTTTGCAAAATATTCAATAATATCACCTCTGCTAATTATAAAATTACAGTTTGATTTTGATTTTTATTTACAGCTTACCATGTTGTTCTTCCTGAGACATATAGTTGCAGTGATACTGGCTGGCAATGATTACTATTCATTCAGATTTTTCTTTGTGAGTATTAATAATTTATATATAGATATATATTTTTAATTTGTTTTCTGAATTTTATTGATATATTTAATTCTCATAAACCATAAATATTCCTTCAGATATATCTTCTACGAGCTGTAGGAGTCTTGCTGCCGTTTTATCTGATGCTGCAGTTGATTAATATAATCATAAATGCAAAGAAGCTACAGCGGCTGCATGTAAGTTCTGTTGATTTTTCGAAAAGTTTTACATTTATGGCTACAAGAAAAGTTAAAATTATGAATTTTTTGTAAACAGGATAGGAATGGGGAGTCTGACAATGATGATATTGAGGAGCAGTAGAGTTCAATTTGAAGCTTATCGAAGCCATAAATTCATACAGGGGCATGAATTAACAAAGCTGTGCCTTTGCAATTATTATTATTATTATCATTATTTTTAATGTTTTTTGCATTGTATGGTGAAGCTTATATTTTGATTATAGTAAGCTCCCACACTTTGCTCTGAAGTAGGAGAAAATATTACATATGTTGTTCGCATGTGCTGACACCCAATCAAAAACTTGTTGATTGTCTGCACATGCGAATAAGGTTATGTAAGTAGAAATTAATTTAAAAATAATAATGAGAGCTTTTGTACATTGGTGCAATTAATGTGAAACATGTACATACATAGCACAATTCTTATATATATATATATATATATAAAACTATAATATCAAATTTGTAGTTTGATACATGAAAATACATTTCCTAAGCATTTTATAAAGATTCATATGAAATGATATGTTAATGAAAAATATTTTAAGAATTTTATGGTTATTTTTTATTGTATTAAATTTTCATTATAAACGGGAGCTGTCAATTGGTTTCAGATCAGAGATACTGTGGTTTTCATCATTATCATAAAAGAAGATTTATATAGATTCTTCCATAATTAATTGCTATTTTATTTCTTCCATAATGATGGGCAGAGGGGACAACAAAAATTCTACCACCCCCTAATATAAAGTATTTAAATGAAAAATATACGGATAATTTAAATAAATAGGACAATTTTTATGGTCTAAAAGCGATAAATTAAACTCTCCTTGGAAAGTAATATAGAATGAGCTGAATGTTGTTGACATCAAACAATCAATCAATGGCGTCTGTCTGTCTTCGAACTAAAGTTGCGTATAATCCATCTTTCAGCATAAGCTCCTTATGACTCCCCACCTGAAGAAAAGAAAAGTTCGAGGAAATTAATATGATGAATGGTAAAATAAGCAAAGAGGAGAACCTATATATTATATATAGGGGCTTATTAATGAAATCAACGCCACCCCCCTCCCCCCCCCAAAAAAAAGCATAAAAGATCTATATAGCAGGGGTTGTCGGACCCAGGGTGAGAATAAGCTGAGTTTGAGTGAGCACAATACTTGTTTGCATTCGTCTCGTTTGAATTTTTTTTGTTTGAAATAGGTTTGTGCTTGAAATAGCTCGTGATAATATGATCGTGTTCAACTCAATTCAAATTCATTTGTTCGTTTCAGGCCATGTTCAATGCAAAATTAGCTCGAATGATTTAAAAATTGATAAAATTTAACATAGGATAAAAATAAAAAAGTAATAATAATATTATTTATTTATTTCATTTGAGCCAAAACAACATGACCACAATCAAACGAAAGTTTATTCGTGTTCAACCGGTTTATAAATCAAGCTAAAAAAAATTATTCGTATTTGTTTTGTTTGTTTATCAAATAATTGGTGAAGGAAACGCCAAAGCCAAAGTCATGCTTCAACCGCTAAAAAGCTTGTTGTACTGCTTTAACCGTGTGATAACTTGAGTCTAAAAGCATGGCCTTCAATTTTCTTTATTGAGAAAACGAGTAAATTTGACAGATTATGCGGAATTATTTTGAACCGGTAGGAAATTATACTGCAAAGCTCACAGGATGGTTTCATAAAAATGTGAAAACAAGATTGCAGAATCTGCTGGCTTCAGAGAAAATTACAGTATTAGAAAGCTACCTATTTTCTCTCATTTCAGTACTGAAGTATGCTATTATAGGATGAGATTGCAGTAGTAACATGCTATAGCGTGAATGCTGCATTGTTTTTTTCTGGAAAATTTACATACATACCACCCGATTCTTATGTATTTACATATCTAACACACAACTCTTTAATTTTTACATGTATATACTGCCCTTCCTACACATGAAAAGGTGTATTTCACTTTTGAAGTAAAAAAACAATGATATTCTCGATGTGATATGAAAGATATATGTGGCATAAATCTAAAAAAAGTGAACTTTAGGTGTTTAAATATGTAAATAAATAGGAACTGAGTGGTATGTATGACCATAATTGAAAAATAATGATATTTTAAGAGATGAAATTTACCTCAACAACTCTACCACTATCCATTACTACAATAGTATCGGCAGCTTGTATAGTTGACAACCTGCAAAAAAAAACAATCAATGAGAAGAAGCGGACAAGAGGATGGCTCTTACAAACTCAAAATCTGCAGCAAGTATCACCTATGCGCGATGATAACAACAGTTCTCCTTTCTCCAGAGGCATTTCGATCCGAAAGTAGGAGCTCCTGCACGAATAAGATCAGAATATGAATACCCAATCACACTGTTTAACGAAGAAACATTGTTGGCACAAAAATACCTTCACATAATGCTCGCTTTCTGCATCAAGGGCGCTTGTGGCTTCGTCAAGGATCAAGATGGTTGGATCTCGAAGAATAGCCCTTGCGATCGCGATGCGTTGCTTCTGGCCGCCGCTAAGAAGAGCATTGTCAACGAGGGTAGAATATCCGTTTGGTAGGGACAGTATAAACTCATGCGCGAAAGCTTGTTTTGCAGCCCATTCAACTTCCTCTTGTGTGGTTTCTCTTGTGCAGCCATACCTAATGTTTGAGGTCACATCCATTCGGAAGAGAGGAGGTTCCTGATCAAATAAAGGAAGTATAATTAAAAAGAGATTGTTGTGTAAATATGATATTTTTTTTGAAGTAGTACGGCCTACCTGACTGACAAAGCCGATTCTTCCTCTCAGCCACCTGATATCTAAATCTTCAATAGGAATGCCATCAACTAATATCTGAATTTATAATAGAACTACTACTTTAATATTTACTATATATCAGCTAAACTAGAAATGTCAATTGTTTTGAACTTGTACAGGGTGCAAACTATCAAATGAACGTGAATAAGGATGCCTCTTTAAAAACGCGCATTATGTCTACTAAAGTTCTGATTTTGATTGAAATTACCAAAAGATCATTTGCACCCATCAATTATGTCTATCGTAGTGAAACAAATAAGAATAAAGATTCCGAGTAAAGGATAATTGTTTAAATTGCAGAGGAGACATTTAATATGTTATTGGAGAATTTAACAGAAAATTGACGAACTCTAAAAATAGTAGTATGATCATCTATACATCACAAAGAGAGTATGAAAACAACAAAATCAACAAGAACTAAGTGTGGAGTACAGGAGAATCTTAAGCAGTGTGAAACATGAAAGTATAAAAAGTGAAATAATTGTATTACAGAGAATGCGAGTATGGCACTTAATGAAAACAATAATGTAAAAAATATACTTAAGGAGTATGATAAGGATAATGAAGAGTAGAAGATGCACTAAAAATATGACAGCAGTAATGTTAAAGATATGGAAAGGACAATAATTGATTAGAAATGCATAGCGATATGGTGGTTCTTCAGTATCACTGATTGCAAAAAGGATGGTTGGATGGTGGGCATTGGACATGAGAGTTGTTTGTTTGGACGTAGGATGTGCGGCTGTCTATTTAAAGGATTGGTGCTTTTGGACTGATATTTTGGGGCTTAACCCTTAGTTTCCGCACAATGCATTCTTCCTATGTTGTGATTATGTGACAGGACTTACATGTGCCTATGAAATTGTGCTTCAGAAATTTCAAATTCAAATGATTTAGTTGTTTGAGTATTTTAAAAATTAATATGAAACTAAACTTAAAGCATCAAAAGTGATAGCCTTACAATAAAAAAAGATGCTAAAGAAAAATTAATTGCATCTTAATCAAAGATTTCTCCAAAAAAATGTTTTAGCGTGCCATCAAATTGATGTGATGCTAGCGAGCTTCATGAATTTAATAAAAAAAATAGTGATTTTGTAGATTCTATAATTGCTAATTCTTTAGATGACATATGTTACAACATATGTCCTCTTAAGGTTGAATCTAATTGGAAGAGAACTAGAATTTCAAATATAAGGAGAAGCATTGAATGCTTTACATCATAATTCATTAAAAATTCATATACACAATTAAGCACACAGCAAATTAGCTTGAATCATGATGTAGCTTTTGACGAGATTGAGCTGGATTCTTCATAAGCAATGCCTAATTATGCAAAAATGAATATTCATGATGGAAAAAATAGCAACACTGTCATAGTAATGCAAAAGGGCTACGAGGACCACAATGGATTAAGTACTCCATAATTATGTTTTTGTCATGGTTGATAATGTTTTAAGGTGACTCAAGAATTTCTAAATCAGCCATATGCTACAGCTTCTCAATAAAAGATAATTTGTTGCTAAACTTATGACCAATTGTTTAAAATTTCAGGCTTGATTAAATCGTTCTTGTCAAAGCGACCAGAATCAAAGCCTAAATGAATCCATATGGAGTTAAAAAAAAACGATTTTTATATTTCAATAAACATAATGAAGTGACTATTAGGAGCCTTTTCTTTTTTGTTTCAAGATTAAGTTTTAATGGTAATGTCTAAAAATTATTTGCTATTGTGCTATAGAAAAAAGAACAATTGCACTGATTTTCAATTTTTGTTTCAAAGATGTTGGTAGCCATTACCCTTGATACATATTTTGGATTTTTTATTTTTGTGATGGTGATGCGTGTGTGTGTTAATCTACGGCTCCATTCTTGTCGAATATCTAACTCGAAATTTTATATATAATCAAACAGAAAAAAAAAATTCTTTGTATTTACTTTACAAATAACCAAACAACACTGAAAAAATAAATATATTTTCTTTATACCTTATTCAAACATTCCAAAATACTTGCATTCTATGTGCTTTGAAACAAAACATCCGGTTAGTGTGAAAACATAAAACAATTTTACAGCACAATGTGATATTTTTCACGTAAGCAACACGAGATGGATCAATTTGGTGTTAATACTTTCAACCTCAAACAGATGATGTCTCATATCCACAAACAATATCAAACATCAGCTATGTGTGAGGATTATTCTATATGACAACTGATTCTCTTCAGGAAATGATCTGAGTTAACTTACCGCACCATTTGTTGGTTCATAAAGGCGAAGAAGAAGATTGGCAATTGTGCTTTTCCCACTTCCACTACGACCAACCTACACACGGCCAACAGCTCAAGAATGTTTATAAAAGAAAAAGGAAAAATAGTCGATTCATTCTAAAAGAATTGCTGATAACCATTAAAAAGAAGGAAGATTTTCACACATACCACTTTTATTCCTATGTATTTACATGTCTAACACCTAAACTTCAATTTTTACATATGCCACCTTAATATTTTAAAAAGTTAAAATAGTGGTATTTTTTACGTAATATGAAAGATTTAGGTGGTGTAAATGTAAAAAGTAGAGTTTGACTTTAGATATCTAAATACATAAGAATTGCAGTAGAACTTACAATTGCAAGAACTTTATTGGGCTGTATAGACAAGTGTATCCGTTCAACGGCTGGGAACTGTTTGACATCAATAAACACCACGCCTAAGAATAAGATGAAAAATAACACGCAACTATTAAGAAGGCGAAGAATGGAATAGCCAACATATATGTCAAAAACACAATTTTGTCCAGACTAAAAAAATTAACAAAACACAGAGTATGCACCATAAAGATTATATATTCCAACTGATAATAATAAGTCATGAAACAGAGAGCAAATCCCACATTTCAAGTTATGAAACAAAAAAAAAAATAATAATAATAATAAGAATAATAAATAAATAATAATTAAAAAAAACATTAGGTACTTCAGAAGTTTGCAAGCAACCTACTATAAACTTTTTATGCTCTCACATGGGCCCTCTACTACCTATGTTATTTTCTCTGGCCTCAACAAGGTAAAGGGAATCATCCCTAGTTTTTCCCAAGCAAACAAAAATATATTTTATTCTGTTACACAACCCCATGATCACTTTTATAATAAAACAGCAAACCAACTTCTCCAATACAGTTCACACAAACTACTAAAATAAAATAGTTAATTGATGACCTGATCTACTTGTATCAGTTCATAGTGATCCAATCCCAAACTACACAAACAGCAGAAGTGAAAAACATAGGAAATTTACATACGTAGCACACAATTCTTATGTAGCATATCTCACACCAAAACTCTCATATTTACATGCATAACTCCAGAGCCGAGGAAGTGGAAAGGGGTCATTGCTGCGCCACTTCTGCCAACAGAACCGAGGGCATGGAAAGGCAGCAACCAGGAGAGGCAACTGCTGCTGGTGTTCACATTAAAACTTGGTGTTTCAGATGGTGTTGTTGAAGAACAACCTAGACTGCGGAAATCGATTCGAGAAATCCAGTACAAAACACTTAAATAGAAACAGAAAGTAATGAAACACAGAAAAATGTAGAAAACACAGACATAACGATGGTTAACAAAATCAAAAGGAATCAGTAAAATGTGTTTTCTTGAGGTTAGACTCTTTATTCGACAAGTGCTATGTTTTCAGAAGTCCGAGACTTTTGGAAAGGAAAGAACACATAAAAACATACAATAAAAAAAACATAAATTAAATCTGGAGTTTACTTCTTTCCCAAACTGAAATGATTTTTAAAAGAGATAAAAATACCTTCCACCTTGAGGGATAATGAAATGATACATTAACAAATTCAATATGCCCAGTTAGCTCTTGCAGCTGACGTCCTGATTAATAGCAAAAAATAATTGTCAAACGTAATTTGCAATAAATGATTCTCATTTATTCAAAGCAAATAAAACATTGATCAATTACAAAAGATAAAAAAACATTTGAATGTTCTATGCAAATATTTTGAATGCATTTTGCAGTAATTGATACACCCAGAAGCTGCATGTAGCAATTTCATAATTGTGTAAATACAATCAGGGAAGCGAAAATAGATTTACAGCAAAAGTTTAGTGAAATGGACTATATCGCTAATCAAATTGTAGGCATACCAATATCAAACATCTAAAGGAATTGGTAATTAGAAGCCATTTAATTCGTACTAAGGTCTATTTTCTTCTCTCTGGGGTCTCTATTTTAAAAAAGAAACTATCAAAAGTGGAAATAGATTTTGACAAAAAAGGTTAAACTTCAAAATCACCCACAAACTATTTGAATATGTTAAACTTCAAAATCGCCCACAAACTATTTGAATATGACCAAGTTAATCCTATAGTATCGCATTTGTCAAATTTAATCCTACAACACCACAAAATTGATCCAAAAGGATTCCCCAAAGAATAAAATCAGATCACTTTTGTGTAGTCAAAAACTAAATTGAGATCAATTCCGTATCATAATGTGTACACGAGCAACTATTTTGAATTAATTTTGTATAGTCGATGTTGGAGAAATATGATACTCTGAGAATAGACTGATGAGACTATTTTGGTTCAAGCTTAAGAAAATGTTATATAAGTTTGATGCAAGATATACTTAAGGAAACCAGAAACCGGAATAGAACAGGGAGGAAAATAAAACAATAGGGTCAATAATGAAACCTGATAATAATTCTAAACAATTCAAAGTTATTTTTAAAATATATAAGAACTTGAATTATTTTAAGGATTATTTCATTTTTAATTAAATTTACTAATAGAACAATCTTTATTTTAAATTAAAAGGAGTTATCCAGACATTAATTACAATTGAATTCACATAAATTTGGTTTTATTGTAACACAACTTATATAAATAAATAAAATTCTAGATGGTAAATAAATTTTGAATGACAAATTACTCGTGGAATTTTCTCAACAATATTCTCTCCTTGCAATACTCCTTTTCCTCTAAACACGTTGCATTTGTCTCTCCACACAATAACTTCTCTCTCTTTATTAAATAGCTATCAAAACCCTATTATAATATTGTGTTACAACGTACAAAAATTATCCCCCTTTCCTTCTCTCAAACTCTTCCTCTTTATTTTGGTTAAGTCTAGGGATAAACATTAGTTGGTTAAAACCAAAAAATTGAATACGTATTTGGTTGGTTAGGTTCATTTTATCAAATGATAGTTTGATTTTTGGTTTGGGGGAAAGAGATATTTGGATTTCAGATATTGGCTCATTTGAAAAAAATGACTCTGGCAGAAAACAAAAATATGATGATTAAATAGCCAATATTATTTCCATTTTCAATTTTCCTCCTCAAAAGCCCTAAGCCTTAGACTTTCTCATGCCTTACAGAGTCATGGAAAGCAAGCAAAGAGGGAAGCACCGAAGCAAGATTCTAGATTCAAGATTCCAGGGAAGCACCAAAGAAAAATTCTAGATTCAAGATTGGATCGAAGCTACCAAGGTTCCAAGCTGTAATTTGCTTAAAACATCGGTTCTACCTATGGTTTCACAATTCATGCAGACCAAAATTAAATCAAATAAACTCAAATACAAAATAATTTGATACGTCTTGGTTTTATATGTGAATTAGCTAGTTTGGTTCTACCTATAATTTGATTTAGAATAATTAATTTAATAAATCTGTCAACCAATATAGCCAAATCAACCAAATGCTCATCACAAGTTTAAAAGGCTATTTGAACAAATGTGTAAGGAATATGGAGTAAAATAACTGCACTGATTTTGAGAATTCAGGTATTTTGTTCGAATAAACAGAGGGAAAGTATTTAAATTTGGCCAAATCACCAGACACTATATCCAATTTCGCCATTGTGCAACCCTTAGACACCGCTCAACCTCACCTCTTGCCTTCTTGTGTGATTCTGAAGACCCTTGCGATTCCACCATGCAATTTTAGCGACCCTTGCACCAGACCTGGGGCATTAGAGACCCTCATGTAAAACCTCCACCCTCACAGCTCCACCTCTACCTCCACCATCTAACAAGTCCTAAAGACCTCCGCCTCGCACAAACCTCACGACTACCATCCACCTAGAAGTGTGATATTGGCCGATTTAGATAGATTGGTTCACAAGTAGTAAACCGAGTGCAACTGAAATCCAAAATCTATAAAATTGAACCAACCAAACTTTTACTAAAATCAATCTAAACTGAACCGAAATATAATTTGATTTAATCGGTTTGATTGCACAAAATTAAAATTTAGCATTTGACAAAGTTATTAAAAATTAGAGTTTTAATTCAAACTTAGAAATTTGATATGATTTTACCATATCCTCATCATTATTTTAAAAATAGAAATTTCAAAAAAATATAAAATAAACATTTTATGTGCTCAATTTATTTTTTTTTTCAAAGGAATTTTATTCGTATTCTAATATTATTCAGTAATTTTATTTATTTGATTAAATGAAGATCAAAACCAATTTCAAGACCGAATGTTTTAAATTTTATACTAAATATTAAGTATAAATTAGTAATTTGACATGCATAAGGAAGCTAGTTTCTTAGTTTAATAGTCTAAAAGTTAAGACATTTTGTAAAATACTATAACTTTTGAGACTTTAGGCTCAAATGCCTTAAATTATTATCTTTGATTCCAAAAATATCAAACCACAACAACGACAGAATATACTGTTCAGTAAAGAAAATTGCCTTACACGTGCATAAGATTTGTATCTTTCCGAAAGTTTTGCTAAGAGAATGAAGGTATGTTCATAGTGTATGGCCAGATATACTATGGCTATATTCTTTTCAAAACCTTCTTCTGATGTAAACCTAAGTTAATCCAAGAAAATAAGTTAATTTACGAAAAAATAAAGTAGATTCACTTAAAAATTAATTTACTTGACTAGAATTCAATGTTTTAATATACAATCAACGTACTTACAAACAAAGATTTCTCTAAACTAACGTATGTATTATAAGTTTTATTTCACAATTCATTCAACTTCTTAATTGAATAAATCATGTATTTCTAAATAGTTGGCAAGGTATAATTGCTGAATCAACAAAGCATGAGAGAATATTAGTGAGATGATTATGAGTAATCTAGAAAAGCTATCATGGATAAACAAATAATAATGAGCACATGCCTCCTGATATGAGCTTCTTTCTAGGCAAAAGATCCATCAGCTGAAACACCTTCTCACTTGCTCCAATTGATTGCATCAATGAAGACCAATTGTCCCCAATCGACCAAGCAGAAAAAATTAGCCATTCGGCATACGCTAAGAACTTTGTAAGCAGTTCGGCTGTTAAATCGCCACGTAAAATTGAAACCCCACCGATCAAGACAGCAACTATCTACGAATTTTGGACCAAAGAATTGATAATTAATTAAGGTCATAGATAACAAAAAAAACATGATATTCTAAGCAAAGCATGTAAAATTTTACAAGAAAATCAGTTATCTAAATGAAAATAATTCTTAAATAATCTCATCCTAAAAATATTAGCATAATCTGCATTGCTCGAGATAAAACTAGCTATTTCACTTCATTTATGGGCTTGCACAGATGACATTTACTACTAAAATTATCATAAAACGAGATTAATAGTCAAAGATAATGTTGACCTCATTTTGAGGTCATTACTCTTTTCCTTAGGATCCTAGGATCTAGCTCTAGGGGTTCCTATTGACTATCTTAGAAAACTAGTATTGAAATACATCCCCTTAAAAATTCCAGCCACCTCATATTTCTCTTATAATGTCCCACATTGATGATCTCAAAACCATCGTCGTATGGTCAAAAGTGGTTAAGGACTATCATGGACTATCATGTGGAGACTCAGGGAGAAGTTCCCAATAGGTCTCAAGCCCTAGGACAACCTCTTTGGGATTTTATCATCACACACACACACACAAAAAATACACAAAATTCACTAAGTTGCACAAGATCGGACTAGAATTGAGCTTAAAGGATGGGTGAAAATGCAAACTTCTCCGGACGACCCCCGACGACAAAATGGACTGCGCCAACACGCCCAAAACACCAATTTTAACAAGAAAAGACACTCATATCGCCATAATTTCGTGCACGAGAAAATTGCATGCAAATCAATGAAGTCGTCAAAATGACCTCCAACGACGAAACGGACCGGGCCAATGCGTCCGGAACGTCAGAATTACCTAAAAATAACATTCATTTTGCCATGATTTAACGCACAAATAAAAAAATTATGAATCAATTTTTTTTTGGAAATGTAAAATGTTTTTATATTTATATTACTGATTATAATATTTATTTTAATCCTAAACCCTATTTCACCGCACACGCACCCCTCCCTTCTTCCCAGTCGCAGCTCAATCAAAGCCTTGGTTCGCCCTCTTCTCTTCAATTCGCGAGCCCTAGCAAACCACTGAGTCCGTCTTCCTCTCCCGCATCCCCTCGATCACACGCGACATTACTCTTCCCCCCACACGCGTCATTCCTCTTCCCCCACACACGACATTCCTCTGTCATTCGCGCACGCGGCTCACCTCTTCAAGCTCCGCTCGACCGAGCGGATTTCCAACGGTGAAACTCCACCTGGCTGACTCTTCCTTTGCCCTAGGCTGCATTTCTTCCACCTTAAATGCATTTTCTCTTCTCCCTTTACCTGATTCGGCCACCACTAGGGCTAGTAGGTGGCTGCTCGTCTTCCATTTGCCTATAAAATCCTACCTGAAGGAAGATTTTTTGTGGTTGAAAGTTTTTTTTGTTGCTTGGGGAAGTGCTGCCGGATTTTGGGTTTACTGGTGCTACTTGTTTGCTCGGTATTCCTTCTGGGTTGCTCGGTATTCTTGATTGTTGGCTCGATATTTTTGCTTGGTTGTGTGTTTGACTATCGAGGTGAGCTGAAATTTTGAGAAGAGAAGGGGTTGCCAAAATCTTTCTTCTTGGATTGGTTCTTCCCTAAATTGCTTGGTGGTTGGTTTTTCTCTGTTTCTTTTGGAAAAAAAAAAAGCGAGGTGCATTCTTCTTCCTTTTCTCCTTACTCTTGTTCTTCCTTATTTGCACCATTCCATTGGCCATCCTAAGAAAATAATAATAAGAGTAGGAAGGAATGTTTGTAATGTTTCACTAGCTCTGTTTGTGATGTTCAATTACATACTTCTTGATCCATGAAAAATCTGAAAAAAAAACATATGAAGGGCTTGGTTTCTGTTGTGAAAATCTGTGCATCATATGATCACTATATAAAATGTTGGGATATATATTTTTTTATTTTATCCTTGCACTTATACCATCAATTGGATGATGAAATAATCATACACTTGCTATGTTTATACATCTGCCACCTTACTTTGAGCTTGGCGTTGCTCATGTACATCATACTGGCTTGAGATGGACAAAAAGCTGAGAGAATTTTATTTGTTATTTGCAAAGGATGGAAGGTTTTAGTGCTTTGCTCATAAAACCTGAAAGCGTCATTACCTTATTTGCAAAGGTTGGAAGTCTTGATGCTTATGTCTTGCAAAATCTGAAATGTTAGGTGGCCTATTTGCAAAATCCGAAACTTTGGGTGGCTAATTTGCAAAATCCGAAATTTTGGGTGGCTAATTTGTGAAAATCTGAAATTATTGGGTGGCCTATTTGTCAAAATCTGAAAACTTTAGTGTTTTATTTTTGCAAAAATCTGAAATGTTTTATGTGCAAGTGGCAAAGATTGGAAAGTTTTGGATGACCTATTTGTAAAAAAAATCCGAGGCATTGGGTATGAGGAAAATTATTTATGCAGCTTGTCAAACAACTATATGCATCTGTAACATTCCTTTTTAGTATTTGGGCGGAATTAGTATAAAAAGTGAAACTTAGGTGCTAGATATGTAAAAACATGGATTGGATGACATGTAAATGTACATGGGCAGTGAGCTATATCTAATTTGGAGGTAACTATTTCATTTGATTCACCTTATGCTTGTTGCGTTGATCTCTTCTGTTCCAAGCAACATGTAATTTGGAAAGTTTACAAACATGCCCCTTTATTCTTCTGCATTACATATCTAACACCTAAACTTTCATTTGCTCATGCATGCTAGCCCTTATATGATAAAGTTGGTGTTAAACCTATAAATGCATAAGAACTTATGTCGAGCATGTAACTTTACACTTGAGAATGAGGAATCATAAAGGCATAAGATTGCCATGTTTAAATGTATTTAATTTCCTTTCATATAATGATGAAATGGTGTATGTGTTGTATACTTGAATACAGGAAATACTTCTACCTATGCAATACTTGAGCCAAATGTGCACACATTTGGGATTCTTGAAAAGCAGGTTTGGGTCATGGTTTTTGGTGATTTATGGGTTGTGTTTTTTGGCTTGTTTTGATGAATTCTTTGTTGGTTAATTGGATGGATTTTGTGGCTTTTTTTTTTTTGGCTGCGGTTTTATCCTAGTTTTGAAAGGTTTAGCTGTAGGTTTTTGGTTTGTTTTATGGGCTGAAATGACTGTAATTTTGAGGGGCTTTTAAATGCAGCTTTTGATGATGTTTTGGCAAGCTTTCGGTCTGTAGTTTAGCCCTGTTTTGGCACTAATCCGGGCTGATGTTTTGCCCTCTCTTTAGTGATGTTTGGGCCACATTTTGAAGCTTTATTCATTAAAGTTTAAGTTGCATTTTAAGGCTTTTATACACCAATTTAGGTACATTAAGTGCTGATTTTTGGAAGCTTTCACATACCTTTGGAGGACGATTTCATCATTGTTTTAAATTGACTGCGATTTTGGGACATTTTGTTGGTTCCTTTTGCTGCAGTTTTGGGCTGTTTTATGGCATATATAGCTGCAATTTTTGGGCCTTTTGTGGCGTATTTTGGCTGCAATTTTGACTTTAATTAATGGTTGTTTTGGAGGCCTTTTCGGCTACACCTGCAGGCTGCAGTTTTGACCTTATTTGATAGCTATTTTAGATGCCTTTTGGACTACAGTATTTGGTTTTAATTGGTAGTTGCTTGGCCAGCATTTTGAGGCTTTAATTGTGATGCAAGGGCGCAGTTTTGGGTCTACTTGCTAACTGTCTTCGTGCATTTCTATTGACTTTATTTGCCGATGTTTGGGCTGCGGTTTCGGTTTTACTAAATGGCTATTTTGAATGCCTTTTGGGTTGCACCTATGGGCTGCGGTTTCAACTTTATTTGATGGTTGTTTTAGCGACTTTGGGCTGCATTGTAGAGACTTTAAGTGTGGCTTTCTTTAGCTGCTTTCTATGGCTGTTTTGGTAGCTTTGGGGCTGCAGTTTTCTGAGACTCTTGTAATGTTATTTGGAGACATATAAGAGCTGATTTTCTTATATACATGCTTGCTGCATTGGACTGAGTTTAAGTGTTGTTTGAGGTCTTCCTAAATGTCGTTTGGAAGTTTTAAATGTGCTATTTGGGAGGGGCTTTGGAGCTATTCTTCGGGCTTTTCATGCCATTCAAGCGTTGGTTTCCTAGATATGTCTGGGAATGATTACATGTTGTTTTAGGCTAATTGAGTTATCATGTGAAGGGGATTTAGGCACTTCTTCGGGAGGTTGATTTGATCACTATTTTGGAAGAATTTAAATGTTTTTTAGGTTGACCCACTCGCTATTTCGCCTCTTCGCTTCCGTGATTTTGGAGATGGGTCAGCCTTTTCTTTTCCTATTGATTTGTTCTGCTTTCTTTACTCTTAGTTAATGATTTCGTTTCTGGTATTTATGTTTCAACATAAGTGCACATATATAACTTCTGCTATATATGAATCATCAAACAAGACTATAAGTTGAACGGTTTTGGAGTTTAAGAGAGATGATGACAAAGACATCCGCTAATAAAGTAAAATAATATTGCATCCTACAATATCGGGACCTGACCCAGGGACCTAGTGAGAATGTAAGATGACAATATTACTCGCCGACACTAAACTAGTGAACACCCTTGCTTTCTTAGACTGTCAGTGATTCTAACCCGACAGTGTGATTGACTTGTGGACGGTTCAAAACATACAAGGATATAACAAAAAAATACATTTCTTATGAAACTAATACTTTTGACCATTAAATGAAATTCAACTTTTAAATGCATGACAAACCGTAAACTTTGAATGATACAATTTAAATATCCACTTGTCATTTACCTGTACTGGGTTAAGAATTGTTCTCCTAAGATTGTCTTGTTGAAAATTTCTAGTTGAATGTCAGACTTTATACACGTGAATGGCCGATGGTTGCCTACAAAGTTCTTCGGAAATGATAAATTTGAGCCTACCTCGAACCTGGATTCTTATAGTTCACTTCGGTCTTTCATAGGTCACTTGTTCTTTTACTTGTCACTTGTTCCTTTACTTATCACTTGA